CAAATAGAATTTTCTAGAACTCACTCGAAGATTCACTATCACAGTCAAATTCGGGTAAAGTCACTTCCGGAGTAATTTACACGATCGCGCGGTTTAGTCTCTTTTTGTGATTGTCACTGTTTGCACTGAATAATTGTCCCAGTGTTCACTCATCAGTGTTCAGTTTTACACTACACTAGTGTGCACTTCCGCAATTGGATTTCACTCTGCAGTCCTTTATGTCTCACTTCTGACACCAATGTCACGGCTTTGGATTGCCTGACAGAAATCTTGGGTTCGTTGTTCGTTTCGTTTATTCCAAAAATCAAAGCACACAGCAATAATTTATTCCACGTAACAATACTCTCTGACACTAATTACTTTAATAACTAACCCAACAATTAAACTCTTTACAATCACTATTTAAATCGTATCACAGTCGAACTGAAAGCTTAAAACTACAACAAAGCAATAGCGGCCTTTTATATATCCCTAAATTTATTCCTGTAAAATCTAGAACACACGCGATAACTCCCCTTTTCTCGATTAAGTAGAATTTACCAGATTAATAGGAATCTGCAATTTCTAGGGAATTCGACAGCCCATTCTTGACACTCTGGCGGCCGTCACAATATTATTATCACCCCTTCACCGCCAAAAAGTTCCATTGAAATGTGAATACATTTTTAAAAATCCATTTTTGCTCATTTTCGCGGTTGTCAACATTTTTCCGGAATATACTGTAGTTGGAATAGGACAATACGAGCCTTCGCTCTAATACCATAAATCGTATGTCAGCAGGGAATAGTGCACCATGGTTGACATGGTTCTAATGTAAGACTACGCTGCCTAACTAAGCAACGTGACTATCATTATAAAAGATATAAATTAGTCCCCAAATAGTGAGTTTCCACACACAACAAATACAGAGCATCCCAAAAAGAATTCCAAAGTGCCATAGATATATCTGAGAAAGAATATTTTACAAGGTCTACCGATGAAGTTTTTAGGGCAGAAGGCAATAATAAGAAACTGCTGTAGAATGTACTCAACGCTATAAAAAAATAATTCCAAGCCTAATGCAAAAAAACAGTAGAACTCGTAAACTTTTAATCTCAGACACCTTATTTGTTTCTGAGCCACTTAAAGTAGCTTCAATAATCATTTTTCTGGGGTAGCAGCAGCTCCTGCAAACAACATATGTGCTATCCCTTCAAACTACGTACCTACCATACAACCGCAAAAAAATAATGAATTTACGAAATTGGGGCAATGCAACAATATTAATGAAATAGTCAATGTTATAAGAAATCTTAAGCCAGGCAAGTCCCCAGACAACGACAAACTAAGTATCGATATAATCGAAGAATTTTGCTACGAAATGTCTCCACTTTTGCCCATGCTTACAAACTTTAAATTTAAAAAGGCATCCATACCCAATATCTCTATGTTCATTCCATTTTTTAAAGGAGGATAGCGCCTCATTAAACAACTACCGTCCAATCTCACTTTTAACTGCAATTTCAAAGGTGAATACTTGTGTCGATAATCGTCTGAATGCCTTACTAACTTCAACCAATTTCTGGTATCCCCAACAAACATGGCTTTAGGCGAAATAGCAGCACATCTTCAGCAACAAGAGATTTGTTGAATAATACCTATTTACAATAAAATTGATAAAAAGTTCAAGTGTGTTTCGACATCGATAATTAAACTTCAATATGCGGATGATAATGTCACGTATGATGGGCAATACATCAGAGGAAGATCTTCAGGCAATTATCAATGCATTCGACCAGGCATACCTACAGGAGAATCGGCATAGAGGGCAACTTCAACAAGAGGCAGATTCTGCACCAACTCTCACCAGATACCTCGTCGGTCTCATGACATAAGGCCCTATCTCGAGATAGGGCCAAAATGAGTAAAGTTCATAGATATGTTGTATTTAGTGTACCTATACTTGTTTTTAGCCAAGGGTCTTATCTTGAAATCAGGTCATTTCGTTAAAAAAGTGAGAAAACACATGGCCCTATCTTGAAATTTGAATAGTTTTATCACAGCATAAAGGCGAATATTGAGACACAAATGTTAACTACTATTTTGAAATGTGGTATTTGACAGAAAAATCACGAGTTGTTGTTAATAATTCCAAAAAAAGAGATTTTCCATATGTAGCGAAAATTATAGGGGACACGTACCTATAGCCAAAATATAGCTATCAGAAAACTCACAATAAACGACAATAGGAATAGAATAGAAGACAATCATACTCGGTATCGAGTGATCGCCTATAATTATGATGATGACCCATACCTAACACTACTGTGTGGAAATGCGTCCAATAGTAGATAACAGATCGACTTTGATTACAACCATTGTGTGTCCTGCAGAATAAGGCAATGGAGCGCATATTCAATCTTCCTTTCCGTTACCCCACGATGAAATTTTGGATATATACTTACTTCCTCTATTTATCAATCCTTCTTCATCGCTGCAAATCATCGACTATACCACTATACAGACATCATTCAAACTTACTCCGGGAAACATGATTCAATTCAAGTCAATTCAATTCTTTATTGTCTAACAGGAATACATACTCCCAATAATGAGACAATTAGTGCACTTAATAGCGAACAAAAATATGAAAATTTAAAAGCTAAGATTATATCCAGAAAACCAAAAAGAAGCCTAAAACAAAAACAAAAACAACTATGAAACTAAAAACAACAATAAAAATAAAAATAAAAATAAAAATAAAAATAAAAATAAAAATAAAAATAAAAATAAAAATAAAAATAAAAATAAAAATAAAAATAAAAATAAAAATAAAAATAAAAATAAAAATAAAAATAAAAATAAAAATAAAAATAAAAATAAAAATAAAAATAAAAATAAAAATAAAAATAAAAATAAAAATAAAAATAAAAATAAAAATAAAAATAAAAATAAAAATAAAAATAAAAATAAAAATAAAAATAAAAATAAAAATAAAAATAAAAATAAAAACAAAAATAAAAATAATGAGAAAAACTAGCATTGTTTTTACACCAACCTGGATCCAAGTTTCCGATACTGCCACAACATGGCTCTCACAGAGAGAAACCGATTTATAAAATACAGTGGTTTTAATGTTTAGGCCCCTAACATTTTGGTATGTTATTTGAATATTCCTGCTAGACAACCCTATCAGTTTAAATTTACAGCTTGATTAGTGGCGATAATTGTGGGCGATCCATTTTTGTAACCAATCCTTAAGTTCGTCTCACCAGCTCTAACACGTTCATCCATTTGTTGTTTGAGCTTCCGATACTCTTGGACTTGCTGAGTAGTCTTGTCTTCCCTAATTGACAGATGTTTGAGATTATTATGTGTTCTGAGCTTATTTGAGTTGCGTAGGATATCGTTTGCTAAGTTACTTGAGCTGCATATCACCTTTATTGGCCTATTCTTGCCAGGAATCACTCTCCCCAAGCGAAATACCTGAAGATCAGCTCCAGCTGCCCGCCCGAGGCAGTGGTCAGTCACACTACTAGCTACCTCATTGATGTTGGTAGTCAACTCTGGGCAATTGAAGATTATGAAGTTGGATCGGCGGCTTTTTCTCTCTTTAAGTTCATAGAACAGACTCTCAATTGAAATTTGTAGTGGTTTGGGTTCAGACACACCCGGCGCAGCATCACCATCCCGAGGAGGTGCCTCATGAAGTGCAGACAGTTCAGATTCCAGTGACTTGATTCTAAGCTCCAGGAGACTGACATTAGACTTAAGAATAACGTTTTTATCTTCCATCTCTTTGTTGAGCAGTTTGAGATAAGTGTTTTCTACTTCGGTTGCTTGCTGATGATTCAACATTATGGCACGAGAACAAGTGAAGGGGTTCAAGATACTTTTATATGATTAGTCCACAAATTACGAACAGCAGTTTAAATCGTTGTAAATCTTCTCTGAAAGGGCTCATTTGTAATAGCTTTCTTTGCTGAGAATAAGATACCAATTTTTATTGATTGTTTGTTACCTGTTAATGTGATGCTGATGATACATGTCTTTTTCTTGGTTTTTATTACGAATAGGTAGGTACTTTGTTTTGTGTGATTTGGATAAACATTCTGAGTCAAAAGGGCCGAGTGATCTGTGTTTAATTGTAGACTATAGGCTCGACTATAGGTATCGTCGGCTATTTCGCAATTCACAATTTTTTTTTAGTTGGCACATTTTTTTTAGTTCATACATTTTTTTTTATTTGCCTTTCACATACATCCAAGGATAAATAATTTCCTGTACAATTTTCACATACCTCTGTCTTAGTCCAGTTGAAGCTTTTGTGACGAAACTTCTGACATTTATAGCAGCAGCGGACGTACTGTCAGGTCCTCATATACTGGTAGCGCTCCCAGCCTATGTAAACCTGTCCATAGGTTAGTATCTCGCCGTACCCATGATGTCAAGTTCAAATTTTTTCTCCAAAACCAATTAATTCATCTCATAACCCGCAATTTTTATTGTGAGCAGATAAACCTGAAGAACTTTAAAATTTAAACTATTCTTCTTAAAAAAGTTCCGACATAGTTTTGAAAATATACAACAAAATATTTTTCAACACAAAGGGCCCCTTGAAAACGAATAAAAAATCGACAACAACAGAACGGTATCTGGAGTAAACTCCAATAACAGTAACTTTTTGCTAATATAATCAACTTTGTATCATTTACCGGTCATACACCCTGTATATCTGCAAACTAAAACCCTTACATTAGCATTGTTGGTATGTGTCTAACTTGTATACCAAAAATATTTGTTATAGGTTGAACCGTTATTGAGCCAACAGAAGACTGACGGAATTTTCGTAATTTAGGGACCTGAAACATATAAATGAAAAAATCCCGATGCCGATTGTTACGTGAATACAATACTTCCTTATTTACTTGATGAAAACAAAAATATATTATGAAAAATTATTTATTACAAAATTAAATCACATTTCTGTTCAAATCTCTTTGATAAACTTTAATGTAGGGTTCGACTAGGTTTTCAAGTGTCGACAATGAAAATAAATATTTTATTCCTTTCTTCATAAATACAACATTTAGTAGTTACATTATTTAAAATATTGTCACAAAAATTCTTTCGAAAATTTCGTCTCGCCATAACACTAAACATGAGCTCATCTCTATACATTTTTTACAATAACAAAATTATACATGAATTCAAAATGTATAAGGAGTCCTGTAAAATTATCAAATGGAAAAAAAAAATGATGACAAGACTCAACTTTAGGATTATTCTTTCAAAAATTTCGTCTTGCCATAACACTAAACATGAGCTAATCTCTATTCACTTCTTAGAATAACAAAATTATACATGAATTCAAAATGTATAAGGAGTCCTGTAAAATTATCAAATGAAAAAAAAAATTATGACAAGACTCAACTTTAGGAGTATTCTTTCGAAAATGTCGTCTTGCCATAACACTAAACATGAGCTAATCCCTATACACTTTTTACAATAACAAAATTATACATGAATTCAAAATGGATAAGTAGTCCTGTAAAATTAAAATTAGCAAATGAAAAAACAAGACTCAATTTTAGGATTACAAAACTATCAGCTGGTATTTTTTTTAAAAATCACCCATGCTGTTAAAAAATTAAACAACCTTAAAATTACAAAAAAATAGATTTCTCTAAACTTAAAAATACTTAAACAAAAACAAGATAAAATCTTAAAAACTCAAATGTGTGATAGGAGAAGAATGGACAGAAATAGGTCCAGGCTCATTCTCAATAGGCTCAGACTTATTCTCAATCGGCTCAGACTTATTCTCAATCGGCTCAGACTTATTCTCAATCGGCTCAGACTTATTCTCAATATCCCCAGACTTATTCTCAACCACAGCAGTACTCTCCAAATCTGTGACAATATTTATTAGGCAAACTTTAAGCTTGATAAATTTCTTTTTAAATTCTAAACCACAGCCTTTGGATAGGCGAAAGTCTGCTAGTACTTTGTCATTCATTTCCAAAAAGCTGATTTTGAAAACTAATGGATTTTTCCGAGAATCTACTGTGGAAATCGTTACAGTTCCTGACACATCTAAAGCCCAAGTACAATGTAAGCCGTCCAAAACCGTTCCAAGATACTCCAACGCAAACTCCTTCTTACAGTTCACATAAAATCTCGTCATTCTCTGGAGCAAATTGGGGAAATTATGCTTTGTAACTGAGCTCCGAGTAAATGACGAAATAATGACGTCGTCGTTTTTAGTCGGCTGTGAAAAGCACCCGGAATTTGTATTTTTGGCTTTTTTAATGTCTCTGACCACTTCATCGATACAAGTTGGACGAGGAGTCATGGCAGGTTGCGATAAAGTGACTTGAGGTGGCTCTCGTCTGTGTTTGGTTTCAGTATCCATTAATCTCATCGAGTTAAAACGAAAGCATGATAGGGGATGGGAGGGATTGCTGTTTTCTGTGGCTGAAGAATCTAAAATAAATGTGAAAATTATGGAACGCTCAGTGAGAAATGTCAGAAACAGAGAGTACAACTCTGGTGGTCTCTAAGAATCTTAAACATTGTAATAATTTCAATGGAATTCATATTCTAGCTTAGCAAGCAATTGAGTGAAATCTGCAGCTAGATAGAGCCCTATCCCTTAACAGAGAAAGGACAGAGGAATCCCAATTCAAAGTAACAACCACGACGAAAGCACAACCATTTTATGAAACTTTTTTTTTATCGGGTCTTCAAAAAAAAAAACAATCAAAGATTGCTTTGAATCCAAAAACGTATGTCGCATTATTGTTTCTTTATTGGTCAGGATTTTTGACATGACATTTTGACATTAAAGTTCATTGACAAAATTAGAGAAAAAATAGTGCTAAGACATACATTTAAAACACCATAGCAATCTTTGATTGTTTTTTTTTTTGAAGACCCGATATGTTGTGTGTACTCAAAGAATTATTCCGTTATTTTTGTACCTTCCAATATTTATTATTGCTAGTGATCCTATTCAATTTTTCAAAAGTTTTGTACAATCATTACGAACTGATTTATAATCTCCTAATATTAACATTTTATCTGATTTGCTTTTACTGTTTTCAGAATGTTAACCAAGTGAATTGAAGTTTAGGAAGCAATTACAGTAAGAACTATGAGCCATATAATAATTTCAATCCCCTCAAATAGAAACAGCTATTCTAAAGAGCTTAGCATTATCAAACAATAGTGAATATGACCTGAGATTGATACCTCATACAAATCATAAATAATACACCTGAGTAGTGAAAGACAATTTAAAAAATGCATAGATATGATTTATACAATAATTCATTATCCTAATAAAAACTTCAACATACAACTTGTCAAACATACCTAGAGACGTGAAAAATGAAGAAAAATGCCTTATCACTCGGTTTTCTACGCAGATCGTGAAATCGCCAGATCTTCTCCATATACAGGGTGTCCCAAAAAGATACCGACAAACTTTAAGGGGTAGTAGGGGACATCAAAACAAGCATTTTTGTTTATATAAACATATGTCCGCAAATGAGCCATTTGGGCTGTAGAGCAAAAAAACTGTTTGATACTTTCATTCTTCGCAATAATTAAATCGTTGTTTACTTATTAATTTTGCTTTATCAAATAAATTATCATTTACAATAATTGTTCAAAATGTTGACCATTTACTTCAATGCAAAGATTACACCGTCGGGTCATTGACTGAAAAGTTTAGTCTACGAAACACCTGTTCGTAATGAGGAAGATCTGATAGCAAGGATACTGGCGGGTTGTACCCATGTAGAAGCTATTCCCGGAATATTCCAAAGAGTTCGCGAGTTGAACAATTATTGTAAACCATAATTTATTTGCTATTAAAGCAAAATCAATAAGTAAACAGTGATTCAATTATTGCGAAGAATAAAACTAGATACCGAACAGTTTTTTTGCTCTACAGCCCAAATGGCCCATTTGCGGACATATGTTTATATAAACAAAAATGCTTCTTTTGATGTCCCCTACAACTCCTGAAAGTTTGTCGGTATCTTTTTGGGACACCCTGTATTTGACGTGAAGAATGCGTTCTCATTCGGTTTTCTACGCAGATGGTAAAATCGCGTCTCTCTGTATATTTGACAAGCTGTACATCAGTTTTCGCTAATGAAAACATTTTGTGCCTTGCATAAAAAATAATTATAGCATAGCAATTTCATGAATGACACTTTTGATTTTGTCAAAAAGACTTACAAAAAAAAAATGTTTTGTGCTCTTTAGACCACAAGACAGACGTGAAAACTTCAATGATTCGACGTTATGTGAATTTATTAATATTCAATATGCTTGGCGACATATTGAATATTGATAAACGATGACACGACGACAAACCTTACCTAGACAGATTATTGATTCTTGTCTTGTGAAATGACAAAATTTGTCATTTTTGTCATTTCACAATGTCGAGTTTATTCTTAGTTGACCCGAGCCGACTGTATCCGACCAACTGAGCGTTAATAGTTCGGACGTGACACCTACTCTCATTCACTACCCAGACAAATTTTTGTGCTAAACGCGCCTAGAGAAGTTTTCACTTCAAAAATATGCAGGACAGAGTTGAGAACATACCTAAAATATGTTTGTTGGGCGAGTTGGTTCAACATTTAGTTACTTTTACAAGAACATTTGTTAAATCCTTCACCGCCAGCTTTATTTAGTTACAATGTACTTAGTGAACGGTAGCAGCAGCAGAATGATAAAAACATTGTCAGTACAAGTAGAAAGTTTGTGAAAAATAATCAGGTATGATTAAAATTATTTTTAATGTAAAATATCATGTTTCACATTTGCACAGTTTAAATAAGAGTGTATGTTTGGCTCCAAGCGCATAATAGTCCAGGAGGCAGTGAAATTTCTTAGCACTTATTTTCCCAGTTAATGTATATTGGATAGTTTGTTCTCTTGGTGATACTGAACAAGAATTTTTGAATCTGGCTAAAATTTTCGGATAGGTTCACAAGATCTATGAAAAATACAAGTACACTTATTTTCCCAGTCATAAATATTTTACATTCACTATAATAGAACATAAAGTATATGAGAATAGCAATTTGGCTTTTCTCAGATAGTGGAAAGAGAGCCTGGCTGAAAAGTTTCGGAGCTTCAATTTTTCACTCGTATTATCCATACTCACAGATTAGCCAGACTATTTTTTTACGTCACTTTAGTATACTTTTCATTACTACAGCATCTAGGTGCATATATTTACTAGTAATGTAAAAACAATTAAATAAAAATGTGATCATATATAAATTAAATACTCAAACATTGTAAACATTTTTTTTTAAATAAATAAATTAGTAGAGCTATTTTTATTACATGCCATGCATTCGTAAGCTCTAAAGCAGCGTTTTCCTAGCAACGCACATTTTACGCGGCGTAGAACGTAATTCGGTCGGCGTAAAACGCTAAGGACATGTCTAATGAAAATCAAATGGAGGTGTTTTCCTACACCGCGTAAAAACGACTTGCGCTAGCGTAATACGGTCGACGCAACTGTTCAGTTGTACGCTGCGTGTTGGCAAAGAAAATGCTCCTTGTATTATATTTACATACCTCAATGTTAGGCCAAGCTTTTAAGGTGGCGAAATAGGATGTCGCACGCGATTACCATGATTCCTTACTTAAATCTTTTCTCACAAGATTGAGGAGAAATGAGATTTGCTGCCTTGTAACTATAAAATATGCTTTTCAAATTTTACTTCATCGTCGAGATGTTTATGGATAAGTATCTCTAAATGCTCCTTCGCTTCTTCTTTTTTGAAATAATTGACTAGCAGAATTTCTAGTCCTATCATAAATCGTAACTATTATATCAATCTCTTCTTGCAAATTTTCATCTTGTAATAATAGGGCTGTTTCTGCAGAAATAATAAACCAGTCAGAGTGAATTTCATTGGTTGAAACTAGTTTCCTGACTGTTTCTGATTCTTTTCAACCAATGAAATTCGCTCTGACTGGTTTGTGATTTCTGCAGAAGCAGACATAATAATAAAGCCTCGAATAAAACCAAAGCTAATTTCTCGAGTAATTTCTTTATTGATATACTCATCGCGACGATCGGGACGCAACTGACAATCCTAGGAAAACACTTTTACGCAGCGCATTAGCTGTTGCGTTGCGTCGGCCGTATTACGTTCTACGTCGCGTAAAATGTGCGTTGCTAGGAAAACGCTGCTTAAGGCATTTTGTGCCTCAACCCATCGGAAAGCCCCGCCGCCTAAATATATATGAATTTTGCTTAGAATTACTAACCCTACAATTCTAGCCATGTTTCGTGACTGGGAAAATAGGTATCGAAAATCGTCACTGCCTCCTAGACTATAAATTTTATACCAAATTTAGTGGTGAATCAAAGTACTTTTACATGCAAATGGTCATAAACATTTTACCCTGGTTCCATTATCACATCCCCTCAAAATGAAGATACATTCAACAGCTATGCTTTGGTAATTTAGCTTTATGGATTTCAAATACACCATACAGCTATAATACCAAAGCAAAAACATTGAAAAACTGTTGCTCTAACTGAGACATTTCTGAACCAAAAAATCGAAAAATGCAAGGAAAATAATGGCCTACCGTCGACAAATATAAACCTCATCCATGGATGATTGAGAATCTGAATAGTAGTCAGTCTTTTTTGCCAGTCTTTATTCAATATTTGCCTAGCTAAACTTAAGGCTGTGTTGCCAAGCTCGGACCATGGAGTAATTGATAAATACTCATCGTTGCACCACATTGTGAAACATTCGTCCGTGGGTGCAGCCTGCGACCATGGCAATTCTCCTGTTAACATAGCTACAAGGACAATACCACAAGACCATAAATCTGCTGGTTTGGCATGATAAGGCGGCTGGCCTGGGCCAATCTCTGGTGCCATATAGGGCTTCGTTCCGCATCTAAAGAAATTAAATTCTAAGTAGGATAAAAGTACTTTATAAAAATGTTAAATCTTACGCTTTTTCAAGTTTGCGTTCAATTCCTCTAAGTCTAAAGAAAGTTGCCATTCCAAAATCACAAATTTTCAAAACTGCTCCAACACCAATTAGTAAATTTTCCGGTTTAATGTCTCTATGTGCAATTCCTCTACGGTGTAGATAGTTCAATCCATATAGTAACTGTTTCATATAATGCTGTGCCAAGCATGCGCTCATACCAACACCGGGTTCTAAAAAAAGCTAGTTGTAGATTTTTCTTAACAAGAATCAGAAAGCAGATCAAATTCCTGAAAAATAACCAGAAGTATGTTTAAAATATTTGATTGGTAGGTAATATCTGGATTATTAATAGAATCTGTGTTCTCCTTATTATTCTGACCGACATTGCAATTGTTGAATGAAAAGTCTAGAACATAGTTAGGTATAAGTTAAAAACTGCCCAAAAGCTCAGAAGAATCAGCATATGTTCCGTTTTAAACCAGATTTAGGTTAGTATGGAGAAGCACATTATGACAATTATTTATCTAGTGAAATATCATTGCATAAAAATATTAAACAATGAACAAAAAAATCCACACATAGCTTATAGGCTAACCCGGTTTTATTTTTGAGTGAAAACCAGTCAGATGAGATTATGTAATAGTTTATTTTCATGGATAACGGCTGTAGATAATTTATAGTTTTTGAAATAATTGGGAACGGTTAGAATTTATATAACTACATGTAGGTAGATGTTATAATACAATTTTCATTATAGCCCTGAAAAAGGAAAAAATAGCTCCGAAAGCTCAGTATTGAGAAAAGAATAAAGAAATCAACTTGACCGTTTCCCAATTATTTCAAAAATTAGGTAATAGTGTTGAATTGAAGGTATTTTTGAAAGCTATTGTCTTAGCTTTTGTGCATACAATAACATATTTGTTGTTAATTATTTCTCAATCCTGATGAAGTAGGTATCTAAATAAATAGCAAGGGAAAAACAGAAAAAGCGATTTCCCTAATGACACTTTTACTGTATCAACCAGATGGATTATCTTAGTATTGCCAGTTCTGCAGATTTCATTAAAAACTACGGAAACTCTGGATGTTCAACAACTGATTAATGAGATTTTGAAACATGCATCTTCAACAATCTATAACAATTCTTAAAATATTCCCCTGGGCATCAATAAATTCGTTCGTTATCGAGTGTATAAAAGAATCCATTTTTCCTCCCAATTATTAAAGGATGTTTCAAATGCTTGCCTTTCAAACAAATCGACCCAACTTTCTTTAGAAGAAAAAATACTTAATATAAGTTATTGATTACTGAACGCACATAGCTAGAGGACAACGAAAATATTATTTCCCAAATTTGCCGCTCGGCGGTTGGTTTGGCGCCCATGTGTTGTGAGCGTTTTGAAGGGGCGGTTGAGTCCGCAGAAACAGCTCCATCTGTTATAGGCATTTATAGGTTAAAATATATTCCTCATGTTTTTTCAGAAGTAAAAAGAAGAAAAGGGTTTTTTCTCTCACAAGAACTTTTATTATGGTTCACCAATTTTGGGAGTTTTTATTATGCTCCCTTCTTCAGAACCAGTACAAAAAACAAATATCAAAACGAATACAACTATAGTCATCAAGTTAAGAGGTGACAAAGTTGCTTACAATTAATTTTTCTTCTAATAGGAAAATAGCTTCGTCGATCATCATGGTTGAAAACGAAAAAACAAAATACATTGCTACACATAATGATGAAAGGGTGAAAGAGTCAAATTACAATAAGGAGAAAAATAATGAGAAGAGAAAATTGCCTGGGTAGTCAGAACTCAGATCAGTGAAGTTGAATTAATTTTGCAACATACCCTCCCAGCATCTGTTGAAGTGGATCCGAGAGCGGACCAATCGTTGACATAACGACAGAAAAAAGCCCAGAACTTTCAAGTCAGAAGTGAGCACCAACAAACAATATATTGTTATTTCCTTGCTATGGGAAATGATGAGGTGGGACATCATCCTGTTGAAAATATGCTTTATTTGGGTCGTGGGACATCATCCTGTTGAAAATATGCTTTATTCAAGTCTCCCATCTGTCTTAGATGAGCATGAAAAACATTTTCCAACATATTGGTCTATATAGTAGTCGTCACATTTGGTTCAATAAAATAAAAGGATATTAAAATATCTTAGCAGAAACTGTGCACCAAACTGTATTATTTCTTCCTGAATTGCCAAGTGAGAAGTGACGACTATTCGCATATGTGTAAAACCTCCTACTGATGTAACTAACCCAGCATGGTATCGGTAGCTGCATTTATCCATCAAAATAAATCTCTTCAAAACATAATAAGCCATCAATACGAAACTCGAGGGAAAATAAATGCAGACATTGTAATTCCGTTAAATTTTAATAACATTAATCTAAGAAGTGTAGCATACCTCGGTCCTAAAATCTACAATATGTTATCAAGGAGTTTGAAGGTGACAAATAATATTTATAGGTTTAAGATTAACTGCAAGAAATTTTTATATAAAGAATGTAAGAAATTTGAATATCTTTTCAAGTAATTATTCTAATATTAAGGAAATACTTATTACTTATTAAAAAAAGTATTATTACTTATAAAAAAAAAAAAAAAGAAATGGAATCTGGTACATACAAATAACTCTGTTATTTAGATACCAATAAGTACTTTTGCTTTGATAGGTTAATTAAATTTAGTTTCCCTCTGTAAATTGTAGTGATGCTAATTGATAAATTTTGTAGGGTTAATGACATTAAAATGAAAAGATAAAATAAATTGTATGGAGCACGGTGTTTACGTGGGATGTAATTTTGCAAATAACTTGTTGATTATTTTACTTGAATAAATTATCTATCTTATCTATCTATCTTATCACATCAGTCTTGTATTCTCATACCCCAAAGCTCCTGATGCTCTAGTCAAACTATATCATTCTCCTAGTTCAAAACATACTGCTTTCCCAGAAAATGCTCCGAATATGTCTAAATTACAATATTTGTACAGCTTTCACACTTAGAAACTTACTATACTGAGGCCAGCAAACAGATATAGCAATAAAACCAGGCTGAAAACCTCTGAGACACTTGGCCTGACAAGACCAAAAGATTTTTACCTCCTGTTTACAATTATTACTCTATCTAAATTTTCAGCAGATTTGCATTTAATAAGAGTGCATGCTATGAATTTATGAAAACAATAAATATAGATAACAAGATAGATAATTTTAAAGTACCATTTCTGCAAATTAGTAGAGTACTATAGACATTAAAAAAGCCTTACTATCAAGAAGCCCATATTATCTACAGGAATATTATAAAGCTGCTAATGTGAGATTGTGTAAAAAATAGTGAAAAAAATGAATGTAGTATCTGCTACCTTTATGTGTATGATATATTTTATCTTCTGCAATGTTTTCTGTCACAACTTAATCACTGTATTTTTTATCCTTTTCTTGGCCTGATGATAGAATTTACTATTATTTTTTTGTAACTGTTTTTGATTGCTAGAGTTGTTGTAAGGCCTAAGTCCTCGCCTAAGTCCAACATTTGTTTAATATTTTATTATAATGATATTTTTTAATTTAGTTATTAATGTAATGTTTCTTATTTTTATGACTTAGAACCTATGCAAAAAACGATATACATTGATATTCAAATAAAGAATCTATTATACTACAGCACCTAGGGGTTTTAGCTTCTTATAATTTGGATAGCTCTAAGTATTATTATTAATATTATATAGTACCTACCTATCAGTTGGAAAAGTTCTCCACCAGCAGCATACTCCATAAAGATATAGTCCTTGTTGGGTTCCTGCCTTCTGCCAAAATATTTAATAATATTTTCGTGTTCGATCACCTTGTGAATCGTGACTTCTTTCTTAATGTCAATATTGGCATTCTTACATTTGGAATGATCAATTATTTTGCAGGCAATATTTTGTTGAGTATTTTTGTTCATTAAAAGTCTTACCCTGAAATGAAAAGAGTTCCAGTTACTTCATATTTGCAAGTGACGAATTCCCCATGCATGGTCTCAGTCAGTATTAGTTAACATGTCATAATTATATAAAATTGTGAGGGCTTTCTTTTGCAAAATTTGTGCCATATGAAATTAGTTTGATTACACATTTCCACAGGAAGGGGGCTAGGAAAAGGGTATGTAAAATGAGACAAAAAGAATGCATTATTCATATCTAATATTTTTGCGTTTCAAGTTAAGTACTATCTAGATTTATATAGGCCGAGATCATTAGAAATAATTTAGCCATTTTATTAATATGTTCAGCCCAAATAAAATTATTTCCTAAAATTAGTCCTGTATATTTACTATTAATAAGGGACTGTAACTGTAAAAAATTAATCTACTAATAGCATTATGCTGAAATTACATTAAAATATTATACCTACAGTTTGACAATTGGAAGTGGGTACACCCTACCCTATAACCTTTTTTTCTAGAATCACAAAATATATTTGGTAGTTAGTTTTTTACACTAATCAGTAGGTAACTCGTAATACCTATGATAATCGATCCTTTCTAGTATAATATAGAATGTTTCGCATAAAGGTACTAGATAGACATACTCTTCAACATCTACTGTCTAATAGAATTCAAACTAATGTGTATAAAACTAGGTACATGCTGTTTAAGCAAAGAAATATATGTGGGTTAGGCCAATAGATATTAAAATTGAGAATATAAATCTGCAAAGAATGTGTCTGTGATAAAATATTTGGGTCTGCATGTAGATGGAAATTTAAATTGGACAGAACAATTAAATAACGAGGTAAATAATATTTTAAGCAAAATTCTTCCAATGATTCCATCTATATTCAAATGTAGAAATTATTCAACAGGCAACACTAAATTAAATTTTTACAATGCATTCTTCTCAAGCCAATTCAGATAATTGCTGTCTGTGTGGGGTACTAGGTGGAGTATGTGTGCATATTATACAACGTCTAGCACAATGCTAATATTGCAAAATTTAATATTGAAGGTACTTTACAGCAATGGTTGTATTCCTTTCAAGAGTTTGAAACACTCGAGCTACTCGCTCCGGTGCTAGTCGCCCCCGATGTGAGAGGAACAGATGCGTGGCGCAACAAACAACGAAAGGAATAAGCGCGTAACGCCCTGGAGCTGTTCCGGAGCTTCTCCTAGGTGTGAAAGGAATACAACTTATGAGAGACGCACACACATGATAACACGATACAGCGAGCTGGAAGTCTGGTGGCTTGACAAGTTTTCGCAGTCAGAACAATGCAAGTTACACAAGAAACAAAATATAATACAAAAAAAGTGTTTTCTAATGAAACACATAGTTATGAATAAAGGGAAATAATGTTCCGTGCATTACTTTGCATCTTTTGTTCAATTTATTGAAGCAGACTATCAATATATTGGTTGACCTATTTACTGCACAGGTACCCCATTACTGTACATCATTATAGCAAAACTAGGTACCTGAATGAAAGGGCCGATTAATTAGTTAGTTTTATTGCAGCTGATAAAACTTTCTTCCTGAAAATGATGTATGTTTACTGGTAGGCTTAATTTCAAACTTTATTCTGCTTAAGGCTCGGTTTATTCATCTTCAGATAAACTTGCTGGTAAATATCTGCAAGATAAATTTACCGTCCTATAATTTTATTGTTCGGCGGATTACTGTCCGGCCAATGGGATTACAGATTGCGTTTTTATTCGTCTCATTGCATGCCTGACAGTTTATCAGAAGGTGAATAAACCGGCGCTTAGCATAGTTGTGGTAGGTAATAGTTTGCTGTTCTGTGAAGTGTTGTTGGTTAAAAAATGCCCAAAGTACTTTTTTAACTGTATGTGTTGTGTCAGATAATGTTATATTTTGTGTTTAGCTTTAAGTTCTTTTTTAGCAGGATTTCCTTTTTGGTATTCAATAAAACTATGGGCGCTCAAAAATAATATGTAGTTTTATTGCAGTCAATAGGTAGGTACCTACTACAAAATCATCCCAAATATCAAACTGGCAAATTTGCATATTTTGCATATTTTAAGACGTCTTTTAAGCTGGAAGAGCAAATTGAGCAGAATCGAAAATCAATGAATGGAACATTAAAGGCTCATTAAAGGCTAATTAAATGCCCTGAAGAAAAATTTAAGGCTTCACCAATTTTCGCGAAAAAGCCTGTTCTGCTAGCTTTAACTTAAGCCAGAAGAACATGACCAAAAATGTGACTAAAACAACAAAAATTGCAATTCCACTTGCAGACACATTAAAGGCTCCGGAAATACACCAACCGCAAATTTCTGGCTCAATTACTTTTTCGATTTAGTAAGTTTGGAAAAGTCTGATTAAAATTGCTATGTACCCAACTACCCGGGTTATTATCGGGAAGTTTGGAAATGTCTGATTAAAATTAAAAAGTAACCCAAACTTCCTCATTACAGCATCTAATTAGCTTTCAATAAGTCACTAAGTTCACTGTCCAAGAGGTTTTCACGTCATGCTTGGTCGACCACACCCACGCAGTTCGACTTTTCGCATTTTCACAAAAAAAAGTAATTGTGCCTGAAATTTGTGGAGCCTTTAATGAGCATTTATTGTCTGTTCAAATGGAATTGCAATTTTCGTTGTTTTACCCACTTTTTCACTCATGTTCTGCTGGCTTAAGCTAAAGCTAGCAGAACAGCCATTTTCGCGAAAATTCGCGGAGCCTAAAATTTCTCATTAGAGTATTTAATTAGCCCTTAATGTATTCACAACGACTGCACTATCGGAACACTGATTTTTACAGTCATAAGTTTTTCCGCCATGCTTGGCCGACATCACCCATGCATCGCGACTTTTCGCATTTTCACAAGAAAAGTAATTGAGCCTGAAATTCGTGATTGGTGTATTTCTGGAGCCTTTAATGAGCCTGTTATGGCTGTGCAAGTGAAATTGCAATTTCCGTTCTTTTAGCTACTTTTTCGCTCATGGTTTGCTGGCTTAAGTTAAAGCTAGCAGAACAGCCATTTTCGCGAAAATTGGCGGAGCCTAAAATTTCTCATTACAGCATTCAATTAGCCTTTAATGTATTTACAACGACTGCATTATCGGAACACTGATTTCCACCGTCTGAGAGGTTTTTTCGCCTTCTCGGTCAACATCACCCACGCATCACGACTTTTTGCTATTTCACAAAAAAAGTAATTGAGCCTGAAATTTGCGACTGGTGCATTTCCGGAGCCTTTAATTTCCGTGCAAGGGGAATTGCAATTTTCGTTGTTTTAGTCACTTTTTCACTGAAGTTCTGCTGGCTTAAGGCTCATTAGGGCATTTAATTAGCCTTCAATGAGCCTTTAATGTTCCATGTGTTGATTATTGATTCTTCTGACTTTGCTCTTCCAGCTTAAGACACATTATTTAAAGCATATTTTGGAAAAATCTTGCATTTTTAATAAAAATAGCATGCATTAAAATGCACATTTTTTTAACAAAAATTTTTGAGACCATTTTATTTGATGACTTTTACAGTTTCTTAAAACCCAAACTTCAACATGGATTTGTGAAAGATAAATCAACTGTGACAAATCTGACAATTATATCAGAAGCTACAGCTGAAGCTATCTTAAATAAAGACCAGTTAGATGCTGTTTATACAGACTGCGAGAAAGCGTTCGACAAAGTAGATCATGAACTGTTGCTTTATAAACTTGTTGAATTGGGTTTAACAGAGGAAATTTACCATTTTTTTAAGTCATATCTCTCGAACAGAGTACAGTGTGTCAGAATTGGAAACTGCGAGTCAGAACCCTTCATTGCCACCTCAGGCGTGCCACAGGGAGCAATTTGGGCCCTTTACTTTTTTTGTGTTTCATTAATTCATTGCCAGAGTGTCTCTCAAACTCCACAGGATTACTTTTTGCTGACGACTTCAAACTTTTTAGAGTTATAAAAACGAGAAAATATTGCGATTTGCTCCAGCTTGATATTGATAGAGTAATTAAATGGTTTTCTGATAACAAAATGTTCCTCAATATAAAAAAAAATTCAGTTCTAACATTTACTAGGAAGATCAATCCTATTTCTCATAACTACAAAGTTTTTGATGTCATAATGAAGCGTGAAAGTGAAGTGAAGGATTTGGGAGTTTTCTTTCAATCAAATTTAAAATTTAATAGTCATTTTTGTCACATGAAAAATAAATCCGTCAAGGCTCTGGGTTTCTTGATTAGAAATACAAAGGAATTTGGTATCACCACAATAATCAGGTTGTATAATGCATTGGTTAGGCCACATTTAGAATATGCGTCACAAATTTGGATGCCATTGGAGGCCACACATATTGATTGTATTGAAAAGGTTCAAAAAAGGTTCTTGCGTTACCTTTATGTTTTAAAAAACAACACATATCCCTTAAGAGTTTCATATAAATCTATGTTGGATAGTTTCAATTTCAGATCTCTTTTACAAAGAAGACGGCAACAAGCTGTGATATATCTTTACTATATTTTGAATAACATAGAGTACAAAGACTGTAACTTAATTAATTATATAAATTTTACAGTACCAAAGATTAATTTAAGAATACCAAATAATCAAAAACTATTTAGTGCAGATCCAAATAGTATATCTCCTTTTAATAAAATAATGTTAATAACAAATGAGATTCTCAGTGAGGTCTAAACAGACTTGTTTAATACTAGTCTCAAAAATTTGAAGGCTGTGGTATGAATTTGTTCTTGTTTTCTTTTTTCTTGTAGGCTTAGGTTGTTAGTTTGTTTGTAGTAGTAAGTAACTTTACATGTAATTACCATTTATGGTGTTTGTAAAGAATCCAATAAATCAATAAATATACATTTTTGATGCATTTTTTCTACCCTTTCGTTATGAAACTAGAACTCAAAATAACACCTATTAGATTCACAGTAGATCTAACATAAGATTCTATTTTACGTTTGTCAAAAATGTACAATAAATTACCGAACTGTCTCAAAAATATAGGTACA